ATCATTGCAAATTTTGAAATCAGTTAGGCAAAAATTTTTGGTTATGTAGGGAAGGATGTCATTCACGATACAAGTCTTAAGTCCCGTAGGCAATTCAAATATTTTATTCCGCTAAAGTTACCTGCAAAAAGACTTTTCAAAAGTGGATGCAGTTAGCTGACTGTGAGCTAATCTCCCAATTCTCATCCAACTTTCAAGCTAGGAGTCCATTTTCTTCGCTGCTTGTATCTTGATTGGAAAATGCTGGCAGGCACATAACAACAATTTATCGGAATCAATTTTTAGGGTGATAGACGTCGGTGGCCAGCGATCTGAACGAAAGAAATGGATTCACTGTTTCGACAATGTAAATGCGATAATTTTCATTAGTTCGCTGTCAGAGTACGATCAGACCTTGAGAGAGGACAATTGCACGGTAAGTCTCTATGGCATAAGACTTAAATGTTACTTTTTTGCCAGTTTCTTGGCCTTCTATATACTTCAAATGCAATGAAAAAAACTTTCTGAAGTTAGTTTTCTGAAGTTAATTTCCGCTGCAAATTCTTTTTTTGTGATATCACTAGGGCTGCAATAGGCTACACCGCTTCATCATCTCGTAATCCTAATATATTAGCAATTTCCGCCCTTTTTTCTATTTACAACTGCACAAGAGCCTCCTCTCCGGCTCGTCCGAACCTTTCACCATAATGAAATTACGCGATAGTGCAGCCGTCGAGCCTCTATTCTCAAGTCTGAGTTGCAAAGGAGGGCTGCAATTTTTTTGTTGAGATTGTTGGAAGTGAAGTGCATTAAAAATGCTGAAATTTCCAGAATCGAATGCAAGAATCGCTGAAACTGTTTGATTCGATTTGCAACAGCCCCTGGTTCGCTGACATCCACTTCATCCTCTTCTTGAACAAAAAGGATCTATTCGCTGAGAAAATACAGCGCAGTCCATTGACGATCTGTTTCCCCGAATATAAGGGGCAGCAGAATCAGACGGAGTGCATCAACTACATTCAGTGGAAATTTGAGCAACTGAACAGGTAATTATCTTTTGATTCACCGTCCACTCATATTGAGGTTGAGATGCTGATGCCGTTTAATAGCTGAGTTCCTATTCAAGTAATCATACAAATCCCACCGCGAAAGGTGTCTTCCGACGCGAGAAAACTTCTTTAGAAGGTAGAAGCGGCCAAGGTGGCTCCGCCCAGTGTGGTGGTCTGAGGTTAATGAGTTCGAAAATGGGTTAAAAATAGATAGAAATTTCGAAATGTAGTGATCATAGCAATCGGATTCATGATACTTCTAGATATTAGGGCCCAATTTGCTTTTGTTATGGGTTATGGGTTATGGGCTTTTTCCTGTGCAAAATTGGCATGTTACTGCAAATTGGAAAACGGCCTGCATATAAACTTCGGCAAGAAAAAGGTGTTGAGGTGTCAAAATAACACAAATCTAATCTTTCCTCGCTAAAAAAGCTTGACGCAAGTGTATAAACACTTAGAAGATCAACCCGTGATGCCAGGAGTCGATTATGGCCAAGTTTGCACAGAAAAAAGTCCGTAACTTGCTTCGGAATGGTGCGTGGCGGCAAAAAATACCATATTGGGAATCAGCCGTTCAGTTCGAAGCCGATTCAGTGTATATTACGTTGGCGGATAATTTCTGTTACACTTTTATTTTTTATTTC